TATTTAATTTATAACTTTTACATCACTACTTAGTAAATGCATCTATTTATTGTTTTTCCTTCTAATTGTTTAACTTCCCATAGGGTAAGTTATAGTAATCGCAAAAAATCGAAAATATTTTTTTTATATATCTTTACGTTTCAAAAGTTTCTGAACATTTTGGCGTACCTTTAAAAGAATGGATGCAGGAGTGTGTACGTGTAAATGCGTGTGTGTTTGTATGTATGTGTGTTTGCGGATACAAGTTTTTGGCGACGATTTCAGGAACACCGATTTGAATAATTAAAAAAATATTCGATTCATATTGATAAGGAGACGTGTTGATTATTTTTTGGCAAAGGCAGGTCTAGCCGTTCCAGAGATACGGGGCACAAAGTGCCAAAAACGGTAACTCAGTTTTTAGGAGAACGGAGCGTCCGATTTTAATAATTCAAAAAACATTTTACTTGAGTTGCCAACATGCTGATTAAATTTTCGGGAAAGCAGGTCTAGCGGTTTCGGAAACCAAGTAAAAAAAGTAAAAAAAAATGCTATTGGGCGGTCAAAAATGATAATTAGACCATATGCACATCAAATTATCAGATGATTTGTGGAGATTTTAATAAGGTGTATCAATTTTCTTCATAATTCTATGGGTTCCGTAACGTCGTTTGTCCGTTAAACAGCGACGCGGCGCTTACGCGCTTCTATATTTTGTCTCTAGAGCAGCTAATGCAGTGCGATTGCTTTGAAAAAAAAAGTTCAAAATTTCCAACATATTTTAAAATAAAAAAGAACATTTTTAACCATTTTTTTTTCCAAATATTATTTTTTTTTCAAAAGTTTTAAATTTCTCAAAAATCTAATTTTGTCAAAGTTTGAAAAAAAAAATCTTTTTTAAAACATTAAATTTTTAGTACGGGAAGTTCCAGCACAATGCCATATACAACTAGTTCAGATATGTTCCAACGGGTTGTTAATCTGAGTTACTGAAACTCACGGCCTTTCGAGTTGGAAAAATTAATAAGCGCAGGCCTAAACTTAGGTATTGATTTCAATAAAGTGCATCGTTTCGGATGCGAGCGTCTACTATTTGTCTCGATGCATGTTCTACACGCGGATCTAACATTGTTAATTGTTACCTGATACGATCCTTCAGAAGTCCTCATTCAAATTAACCGAAACGTTTGATGGGCCATTATTACTTAACGTCACTACACAATGTAATCCCTAAGTCCCCGAACAGATAGGGCATAATATGGGGCGATGTAAGATTAAAGCATGTTTGATGGCGCCCGATAAGCAGCCGTACTTTATATTATAAATAATATAATTATGGCGCTCGTTTAACAGCCATTCGGTGCGATTAAGTTTTTTATGAGTGCTTTTGCAGTGAATTACTGCACCTCACACTATGATTTATTGAGCACGACATTAACTTAATTTGCGACACGACCGTGGGGAAAATTCGAATTTAAAAGTCATGAACTGCGACTTAATATTTTATCGATATGGTTGAAATATTATATTGTTACATTTATCCCATTGATGATAAAACTTTTTTAATGTAGAGGGTAATTTAGTATATATATATATATATATATATATATATATAATCCATATATATATATATATATATATATATATATATATAATTTCTTTGCTCCCAAGGGCTCAAATGGTTCCAAATTGATAAAAAACAATTCTCTAAAAGTTTTGGCTCTTAATATTGTCTTTTAGATAAAGCGCAATTCAATCAAAGTTTTGTATGGAAATAGCATAAAAAAAATTCAAAAATTTTGCTGAGCGTCGAATTTTCAATAAAAAATGACATGAATTTTTACTTTTACTTCATTTGTCGCTAAGTTATACATAAAAAAAAATTAATTTTCAAAATGTTTTCCATGCTATTTCCATACGAAGTTTGATTGAATTGCGCACTATCTAAAAGTTAATATTAATAGCTAAAACTTACAGAGAATTGTTTTTTATCAATTTGGAAACATTTGAGCCCTTGGGAGCAAGAAAATTCGAAAATGTCCATATTAAGGACCATCCTAATATATATTATATATATATATATATATATATATATATTTAATATAACAAAAATATTAAAATATGAAATAATTATTATTAATGAAATAAAAACTGTTCAAATTAAACGTAAAAACAATTACATAAAACATAAAACGATAAATACGAAGAGTAATTTTTGAGCCAAAAAAATATCTATAATTAATTGAAGTGCATAGTCAACATATTTAATAACAATTTTTCATAAATATGTTGTTTAGATTATATGTATCAAAATATACAACATATGGATTAATGATATTAATTTAAAAAAATCTCTTCTGTCTTACAAACATCATAATCATTATAGGTGAAATAAATCATAATTTAAATAAAAAAAACTAATGCACGTAATTGTGTATTACTTTGTTAAATTGGATTTACGAATTGCGAAACATATATGGCGCGCTAATGTTTCTGTAAACATAAAATTATATTTAAAAAAAAACACAAATATATTGATGTGTGTGTATATTTCAATATTTTCATTCGATATTCATCTTTATTTTTAATTTTAATTTGTTCATACAATTTCAATTTTTTTAATTTGTGTTTTTTAGTCTCATATATATTTCCATAGATTAAGTATATTACATTCCAATGATGTTATTATGTGTGTATAAAGTTTAAATTAATAAATTTCTATAGTAAATTTCTTCGTTCGGCTATAATGCAATCAATGTAAAGAAATAAATATCAACTCTAAATATGATGAGAAACAAAGTCAATATTTTAGTGTTCAGGTGATAACTGCTAGATCATAGAATTATATTTCATATATCCCAATTTCATTTCTATATCATCGTCTCTTTTATTAATATAAGTAGCAGTGACAGCCAGACGAACGAATATTGTAATTACATTCAGAGGTACCATTTTTGCCCTTTCAGTAAATAAAATACATAATTTCCCCACGACTCTCTTGAAACAGAAAATAATTAAATCTTAATTTGTCCTAGAAAACAATTAGTATTAAATTGTAATCAAGCCTTGCAAGTAATTTCATATTCGTCTGGTTATCACAAAACACATTGGTATTACTTAAATAATTTAGGCATTAGCACAACTTCCCGATTGTGTAAAATGAACGTGACTAAAGCATACATTACATAGGGCTGCAAAAACTAGAGTCGGTGATAAAACCGTAACTATTTTTGTTCAACCTGGTTTTGTATCTATTTTTGAATAAATAACTAGTGAGCATTAGACTTTAGGAAATTTTGAAATTTTTGAGAAGATATGATTGTTTTAAAAAAAATAATTTGCTAAATGGTAATTAGCACGTCTTCCTGTCAAGATTTGTATCCTCACACACATACAAACACGCACACACATACAAACACGCACACACACATATACACACACACATCAATTATTTCTAAGGTATGCCAAAATGTTCAGAAGACTTTGAAACGCAAAGGAAGAGACAATTAATCAATTTAAAAATCTAGAGACGATTTTTATTATATTATTCAGAAAGTAATGCTCTGTTTTTCAATAGAATGTAATTTATTTCTGCCTTATGCATCATACACACAAAAAAAGACTGGTATCTAAAAAGTCCTATTAATTCTACTGGATTTAGGGTTTTAGTCCGATGCTCTTTCAAATATAAAGGCTAATATTCTGTAGAAAAATAAATGTTATTCATTAAAAACTAGTGGTGAATGGCATTGTCCTTTAAGGCAAATTGCTGAAAGTTTCCGCAACGAAAACTAAATATGTTAAAAGAAACTTTAAAAAAATTTCAAAACTTTGAGAAAATTATATTTTGAAATTAATAGACTTTTTTGAATACTTTGAATTTTAAATAAATTTAATAAATTAATTGAAATTAAATAAATTTCAATTTTTTTTTGAAAATTCTACACCTTTTTTAGAAGCAATCAGGCTGCGTAGCTGTTTTAGAGTCAAAATATCGAAGCGCGTAAGCGCCACGTCGTAGTCGAACGTGTACGCATCGGTACGGAACCCATAGAAACGTACACAGAATTTGTATTTATTATTATAATCTTCAAAAAATGTTATGTGCATATGTATAATCATCATTTTTGACCGCCAAATTGCATTATGTTTTACTTTTTTATCGGATCTCCCAAATCGCTAGACCTGCTTTTACAAATATTTCACCAGTTGTTCATTACGTCAATACAAGTAAAATGTTTTTCGAATCATAAACATCAGAAATTGGCTGATTCGTGTTCTTGAAATCGTCAACAAGAAGTTGTATCCGTAAATACACACACACACACATCAATTTTTTCTAAGGTATGCCAAAATGTTCAGAAACCTTTGAAACGTAAAGAAATATAAAAAAAAAATATTTTCGATTTTTTTGCAATTACTATAACTTACCCTACGAGATGCTAAAAAAACTTCAATAACAACCACGTTGGTAAAAAGTGTTATTCAAGTCTTCGTGCATGGACATTATTAGTTTTTACTGTTTTTTGTTCGGACTGATTAGGATTGATGCTTTTTTAAAAAGTTTTTTAGAGGAATAAAATGTCAAAAAAACTTAGTTATAAAAATCGTCAGTTCTAGACAGCCCTAGTACTCTACAATCGGTTTAGTCGTCCTCCGCTAATTTGTTCGCAGCACGCGCTAGAGCAGGACGAAGCAGAATCGTGGTGCAATGAGCCTGTCACTATAATGTTTAGTGCAGCGGTTTCCAACCTTTTTTTCCTTGCGCCCCCCTTTTGAAAGAAAAAAATATTGCGCCCCCCCCTAATTTTTTTAACAATTTAATTTAAATATACTTAATTGAAATTATGATTTATTCAATCTCGTACCAAATAATGCACAATATACATACATACAAAAATAAACATACAAAAATATACATACAAAAATATACATACAAACATAACTATGGATTATAGGAAAAAAATAATTTTAAATTTAATAAAAACAAATGATATAATATTTCACACAATATTAAAAAATTAATGCGACGGTTGAGCTTGTTTTTCAGCACAAATTTTCTCAAACCGCGGCCCCATTGTAGAAATCGCCGTTCTCAGTTCCTTTTCTATCACTAAACGAGATCGGTACTTTGTTTTTAATACTGCTACTGCAGAAAAACCAATTTCACATAAGTAGGATGTCACAAATGATAATAAAATTTCTAAGGCTTTATTTGTCAAAGTTGGAAAATCGTCCTTTACTTGTAACCAAAACTTAACAGTATTCTTTTCGTCCTGAAACATCTGCTTCAATGTGCTATCACTAGATAAATCAATTATCATTTCCTGCTCTGTCGTTGGAAGTCCAAAATTATCATATTTATCAATAACAAATGGATTTCTAATCCATTCGTATTTGGACATATCTAGATCTTTGAAGTAATGCGCAAATTGGTTCCTTAAACTAGTCATATGATTGATAATAAGATCTTTACTTGCTTCTATTTCATCATCAGTAACACATGTAGTTTTAAAAGAAGGAAACATATCAAAGTTATTACTTTTCATACTAGCTATCCACAGCTCTATTTTTTTCATAAACGCCGTAATCTTGTCCTTTTGAAAAAAAGCATGAATTTGAGTTCCTCGCATTGATTTATTTAAATCACTTAGTCTTTTAAAAATGTCAACTAGATACGCAAATTTTGCGAGGAACTTCGTGTCATAAAATATGTCTGCTTCATCTCTTTTATTATCAGCAAGAAAAATGGCAATTTCTTTTTTGAGCTCAAACACCCTTTGAAGTACTTTAGCACGAGAAAGCCAACGTGCTTCACAATAATAAAGTAGTGCTTTGTATTCTGAGCCCATGTCATCACACAATTTTCCAAAAAGCCTTTCTCTTAATGGACTATTTTTGATAAAATTAACAACTTTTATTATAATTTCAAATACTTCAAGTAATTCTTCACCCATATTTCTTGCAACAAGAGATTGCCTATAAATCATACAATGCGTCCAAACTGCACGAGGAGCCACTTTTCGAACTAGGGCCTGCAGACCAGCATTTTTTCCTGTCATAGATGGAGCTCCATCAGTGCATAGTCCAACACAGTTCTCCCATAAAATACCATTTTCAATAAAAAAAGTTATCAATTATATTAAAAATTTCACTCGCCGTAGCTTTGCCTTCAATTGCCTTACAGAATAACAACTCTTCTCTAATATCATTTTCCATAACATGTCTTATATATGTTATTAAGTGTGCATCCTTAGCAACATCGGTTGCCTCATCTACTTGCAACGCGAAAGAAGATAATTTAATTTTTTCTATCAACTGATCGCAAAGATCATCAGATATATCTGATATTCGTCTTCCCACCGTATTATCTGCCAGCGGAATGCTTTTAATTTGATCAGCATATGATTCACCAAACATCATAGCTATTATGTCAATAGCTGCTGGTAGTACTAAAGTTTCTCCTATTGAATGGGGTTTTTTGCATTTAGCAATTCTATACGAAACTTCGTATGACGCAAGTAACGCTTTTTGTGATACAGACAAAGCTTTTGAAAACGATTCTTTCTGTTTATTTAAGTTATCTAATTTTCTTTGGAAAAATTCTTTTGTTTTGCCAACATGATCGGCGACTTTTTCCAGATGTCGTTTTAATTTACTTGGTTTCATGCTATCTGAGGCCAAAGAATTGGCCTTGACCATTAATGATCTTATACGTAAATCCCAATGATAAGTACATTGGATCATATTTTCTATGTTCAGTTTTACTATTTTGTGAAGAAACATTTCCATTATTTTCTCCACCCTCTTCTTCTGCTTCATTAAATTTTCTTTTCAACCCAGTCACGTATTTATCCATCACAAACGGTTTTTATAACAAATCAAAGAAAATCACTTTTTCACTACTTTTCACAATAATTCCTGGTTAATAATGTGCTAAAACTAAAGCTATAAATTTTAACTCAATAATAATTTAGAAATGATTTTTTCTATATATCAACGCGTGTATCTCCAGCACAACTAATGAACTAATTCGATTTATAGATAACAGAATAAAAAGGATGCTTTTGTTTATTTACTTAAGTTAGTCTCGAGTAAGCACGTGAATATTCGATATGATCCGAGTGTTTATCTTTTGTTTATAGGCCTACAGCTCACTCAACTACAAACGCAAAAACGAAATATTTTGAATGCACCAAAAGTATAGTATAATCATGCTTTTACATTTGTCCTGACAGAATTGCGAAAATTGTAGATTACTTGCATACATTTTGCTGATTTGTTTTTGACGCTTACTCAGCATTTAACAACCATATTTTTGAAAGAGCTTCGCGCCCCCCCTGGGACGGCACCGCGCCCCACCAGGGGGGCGCGCCCCACAGGTTGGAAATCGCTGGTTTAGTGGTTTGTACCGAGCCACCGCGTCAAGGAAATTGGGAAGTAATTATATTACCATAGGAATTGTAGTATTATACGGCTCTTTCATGTGCGAGAATTGAAACGCCAGAGATTATTGTGTTCTTAGTGAGGAGCAACACGGAATAACGTGTTTGGTCGGGATACAGACCTATGCGGAGTACATGTCATCAGTAGATCCGCAGGGAACGACTGATAAGTGAATTTATCACAATCATGAAGGGAATATAAGTCATAGGTGATAACTTGCATTTGACATAGACACATGATATCGAACTTTGCAGTCATGCATCATAAGAAATATTAAATGAATGTTTGCAGTAATTATTTTAATTGTTCTAGCAAATTATTGCGCTTCAGCAAGCCTTTTGTACCTTTTTGTAGATATTTATAAACGGTCTCAAATGCCATTGTTTATTACTTTCTACAATGTTTCTTTCCAATGGTTAAAGCTATGGGAGTTAAATCAAAGGCCAGAGGTTTAATACCTGTCTCGTAAAGCATGATGTCAAGCAGGTTTTGAATCAGTTTTTACTTGGAATTCTTGATAGAAACCACATTGTTTGAAGTAAAAGCAGCACTTTCCGGCAATAATGCATCAATAACTAAAATCATCACTATTACATAAATTATAATAATAACATTCACCACATAAAGGTAGAGCAACTGTTTAGATTGTCATATATGTTGCCATCAGCTAACTGACGTAGCTGGTTAAGTCAAATTATCACAACAGCATAGAACCCTTAAACTGATCGCTATTTAACTAACATATACAACGAAGAGGAGGTCCAAAGGTCCAATGTAACTTTTAGCAGTTCCACTGTGAAAGCCAAACGAACTACATCCAACAAATAACTCGTATCAAACACACAACAATGAACTATGTTCAGTAAAATTCCCAGATAATTCATCAATGTGAAAATATGTTTTTTGCTGTCAAAATTGGCACTTGTACCTTTTTTATCCTGTAAGCGAACCAAAAAGAGACAGCCAGGGGCAAAAATAGAATTTGATATAACTTATTTTATTTTTTCATTTACTATTTTCTTATTACTTACATCTTGCCAGTGTAATAGTTCAGATAGTCTTTTTCAACCCAACCACATACATATAAGCTATTCTAGATATTATATAAAAAAAGTTAAATTTTAAAAATAACAATATACCTTATAAAACCATTAACTTAAAAGTTGTGTCTAGGTATCGTAAACTAAATAATATTATACAAAACCAAAACAACGATGAAAATATTTTCGTAAAAATTTGACAATGTGGCCTTTCATCTAGGGATACCGAAGTTGCACGATTGAAGACCATGGTTGCTTACCCATTAGAAACATCGTTAAGAATACTACTCTTTACTTTTGAAATAATGGTTGTAAGCCTTTTTCCTCAAGGACTTTCAATCCCTGCTAATATTTAGTTCTCGTGAATGACATGAGCACGCTTTAATATAAATTCAAATGCCAAAAACAATCATATATTTATATGCTCATATTATATTACTCATAAAACAAAAATTCTCATATATAAAAGAAAATGTACTTTCATCCAAGTATCTACACCAGCAAAACGCAGACGGAAGATAGACAAAAACAAAGAAAAAAGAGAAAAGATTAAACTCTTTTAATCCGAAATATATGAAACGGCTACCGTATATTCGGTTTGTGTTTTTTTGGCAACGTAGACTACTTTTGCTGTAATAAGATGGGGCTCCTACGAGCTAAGTTTCTATCGAAGAAGTTAAGAGGAGTTGATAAGGAGGCTTATTCAGAACATACGACTATTGAAATTTCGTGTAATTGCGTAAAGTTTTAGACACAGGATGGGAAGAAAATTATCGTAAGTTATTTTTCTATATATATATATATATATATATATATATATATATATATATATATATTCTTGGTTTTATATTTGTATATTTTGATTTGGAGCATAGCTCTGTATGGATCAGATACGTGGACTCTAAGAAAGACCGACAAAAACTAAAAGACTAATTGTTTTACAAGACTGTAAAAGACTGAACTGTGGTGAACTGAAGCCGAGTGGAGAAGTTAAAGTAAACTAATAAGTGTTGATGAGAGTGAGAGAAAAACGAACTCTACTAAGCGCGAATTACTAAGAATCAGTAAGCGCGATCCTGTACAGAAAAGGAAACTGGATTAAACCCATATGGCAAAAAAGTGGCTGCACAACGTAGTCGAAAGTAAGAGAAAAGGACTTAAAGTACTAAGAAGAAAAAACAAGCATATAATTGACAATTTATGTAACTTATATTCTGTATATAAATATATACAGAAAATCTATTGAGGAACAATACATAAAGCACAGTAGCAAAAGTTTGAAAATGTGAACAATAATAATATTAATGATAATAATAATAATATTAATAATAATAATAATAATAGTAATAATAAACAAGCGAGAGAAAGGAAATCATTAATATATGGTGCTCTGACACCACGGACTTGCCTTCGGGCAGAGCCCCGAAGATAATAACAACAATAATATGAAAATTTGATGTACATATGTATAACGATCATTTTTGACTGCGAAATTGCGTTTTTTTTATTGGATTTACAAAATCGTTAGACTTGCCTTCCTAAAAATTGTATCAGTTCTTCGTTTTATCAATACAAATCAAATGTTTTTTAACTTTCCGTAGGGTAAGTTATAGTAACCACAAAAAAATCAAAAATAATTTTTTTATATATCTTTACGTTTCAGAGGTTTCTGAACATTTTGGCATACATTGAAAAAAATGGATGTATGTGTGTGTGTATGTGTGCAGATCTAGCGGTTTCGGAGATCTAGTGAAAAAAGTAAAAGAAAGCCCTTTGGCGGTCAAAAATGGTCATTAGACATATGCACATCAAATTATCAGCTATTTTATAGAGATTTTAACAATAAGTATAAATTTTGTTTGTGTTCCTTTGCGTTCCGTACCAATGTCTATCCGTTAGACGGCGACGCGGCGCTTACGCGCTTCGATATTTCATCTCTATGCAGTTAAAGCTGTACGATTGCTTTAAAAAGAGTTCAGAATTTCCAAATTATTTCAAAATAAAGAAAATTTTTTTTTAAGTTTTTAAGTTTTTAAGTTTTTTTTTCTGAAAAAGTAAATTTTTGTCAAAAATTTATAGTTTCTCAAAAATCTAATTTTTTCAAGGTAATTTTTTTTTCAAAAATGTTGATCATTTTATAAAATTTTTTTTTTTGGTACGGAAAGTTTCAGCAATTTGCCTTAAAGCGCGATGCCATGCACCTTACTAGTTAAATCATTCAAATCGGACGCTTTATTCTCTCAAAAACAGAATTACCATTTTTTATACGAAAACGGATAGACCTGCCTTTACCAAAAACTAATCAGTACGTATCAATAATAATACAAGTCGAATGTTTTCTGAATTATTCAAATTGGTAGATCCGTCTTCCAAAAATCTGCATACATCCATTTTCTCGAAGGTATACCAAAATGTTCAGAAATCTTTGAAACCTAAAGGTAAATAAAAATTTTCATTTTCGACATTTTGGCGACTACTATAACTTACTCCATGGGAAAGATAATTATACCAAACTGTCAGTAATCAAATTCGCAGAACGTGCCAATATTTTAACAATCGAGTAACAAAGACGCTATCCGAAACATATTAATTAGTTGAACTAACTTGATAATGCTTCACGGTTCATGTGTAAATTTTGTTGAAATTCTAACGAGACAGAACTACTGTTGAGAGCCGAGAATAAAGCGTTAAGGTCTCGGGGTCGAAGAAGTGGGTGTGACGCGGCAGCCCGCGCTTGCTGTAGAAGTGCGGATGGGGTGTTAAGGTTCTGCGGTTTAGCGGAGCGTAGGTAAACGCGGTGCAAGGCGCAAGGGCAATTATTGAAGTTTGCCGTACGTAATTGGATTCCATTGTGGAGTCGCGTCGGCGTCGTCCGCCGCGCACATCTCGGTTACAACGCACCGACCGAGCCAACGAGCCAACGAGCCTGCTAAGGAAGAACCACACCGCCAGACATAATGGATCGACAGTTATTGAAAATCACCTTGTCTACTTATATCTAGGCGCATTGTCGGGATTATGTCATCCCCGTGATTCTTAACGTTAGATTATATACGGAAATCATTTTATTACATGTCGGAGCATTCGGGAATTCTGATTTATAAGTTAACATTACAAGAAAAATACTCTTTCATATCGTAGTTTTATTAATAATGTTTAATTTTTTTCAAAACATCTAGGATCTGCGCGTAAAAACACACATACATATATATATATATATATATATATATATATATATATATATATATTCAATATGTGTGT